TGATTAAATACTTGACACATCGCTCTCGCGACTCGTAACTTTGTTGGAATCGTAATTACGCGAACGCCACGCGGACCTACGGCTTCTGTCAAAGTTTTACCGAGTCCTATAGAAAATCACCTGCACACACGCTTGCAGCATACTCGAAAACTTCTCACCTTCCATTTCGCTTTTTAATTATCGAACTTTGTTAACTCTCATTGGACACGCTCAATTCCGAAAAACTGTCAATTCGTCAACTCACTCGCGGCTTCTTCGACTACAACATCACGAAAATTCTCGAGAGAGCAAAGCTCCGTTCTTTTACTTCTCTTCTATGTCTTTCGTCGTGCGCGAGAGTTAAATAAGCCTTTTTGCAGTAGTCTGCCATTATCTCGAGGGAATCTCTCTTTCGCTAATTCGACGCGATGATCTCCGGCCACGTAGTTTGGGTGACACGTGTAGTAGCGCGCACTCCAGGGATCGAGCGTGGCTAAAGGTCCCTCGCTCACTTAAAATTTTAAGCTTCGTAGATGAAATTTGCCTTAATAAGCTTTCTAATCTCGGCAGGATTACCTTTTTGAAATGCGATGTATGGTCATACCTTGCCATATGTAGTTACGTGTTCTTTACCGAAATCTTCTTTAAACAAATGTAGCTCAAGTTTCAAAAGTTCCTTCTCTTTCTTTTCCATTATCCCAAGCTGAGCGTAACATATACACACACCAACCGCTGCAGTATTTAAAAACAAGCACTGCAATCCGATGAGAATGCAGTAGCTTGCGTAAACGTCACTTCTTGCTCGGACGATGCGCTCGGCTTGAAAATTTTGCATACTCATTCGTTTTTTTTTTAAATAACACGCAAAGCGAGGAAATTTAATCCGTTCCTAACGAGCGTTTTGATTGAAACCATAGGAGACTAAATTAAAAAGTCGACTCGTGACCCGCTTATTAGCCGCACGGGCGGCAAATGGAGCTGTATTGGAACACATAACGACAAAACAATGGCCGACAGGGCAATTTGTTTTTTCGGTGTCCGCTTACTGGAGTCGCGTGACCTAGGAAATAATGTAGTCTTAACTTCTGCAGATGACAGTATTAAAACCCGCGGGAGCATTAAGTTATTGGACAAATTGACGCCAATTATAAATAATTGACAGTTAATCGTTACCCCGATGATGACTTCTACTCGTACACTCACTTTTATTTTTTTATTTCATATTTTTTTCGCTATTCCGAAGATAAACTCTGACCGAAATTGATATGTTTCACACATTTGCGACAAAGTGAATGTTGAAGTTTGACGTGATATTACCTTTCACATAAATTTCATACAGTGTTTTTATGCATCTCGCTTTTCCGCTCTATCTCTTTCTCTCACTCACTCGTATTTCGAGTCTAATTTAACAAATTACTTTTCCTTTTTCGAAAAACTCCTCAAAGCTACGCAAAGCTTTTTCGCCGATTAACTCACCAGCTGGATTTACAGAGTAACAAAAGCGCGCTCGGATATTCCTCTCTGAACTCTATCGTGAAAGAGAGGGAGAGAGAGAGAGTGAGCTCGGGGCCATTAAAGTTTTACAGCGCGTGGTCTCCAGTCATAAATGCTCGCGCGACAGGTAATAAAGACGCTTAATACTAATGACACTAATGCCAGTCGTTCGGAATGAGCAAAGAAACAAACAAATATCTTGTTTTTAAGCGACAAAAGTGCAACTTTGTTCCTGGGATATAAATTTATACGATTCCAATGGATCCACACTGGAGATTACATTTATTATTACGGTAAAAACTTAAATGCCCTGCTTTACGATTATTGCCTCGCTTCTCATTTGATTACTCGTCATATGTATCAGCATTTTTATGCATTGCCTTTATTAACGATAATATTATAAATAAATCACTCATCGAGTGCTGAAACCAGTTGATTTTTTCATCGTCAATACTCATGAAATAGGTGAGAGGCTTACTGCGTATTTGCCTTTTAGCGTGAATTTCCGTGGATTCTCATCGTTAAACTTTTCGCGCGTTGGAAAATTAACGAGCAGTCTTGTTCCAGAAAAAAAGGCGTAAATGAACGCACAGTAGCGTGAGCTTGCAACAAAAGTAAATAAAGCAAAGAGAGAGAGAGAGAGAGAGAGAGAGAGCTGCTAGGTTCACCGGTGCTTGCGCGCAAAACGCTTGCGGGGGCTTGTCGCGCGCTGACAGTTTTGACGAATCGACTGCTCGCTCGCGTCGATTATTATGAATCCGTGGCGCACACGTCCGCGGGCGATGATTGAATCGTGATCGATTGACGCGGCCAAGACTCGCGCTGCGTGCAATCACTCACAAAAATCACGCTCGTCAACGAGTCGTTTCCTTTTGTTTCTCTCTTTATGTTTTTTCTTTCACCCGCCGTTGTTTTACGCGCGTATAAAAGATCGGAAAATCACAGCCGATGACAGACAGACCGTGTGATTTGATGGTTGAACACTTTCCGAAGGGTTAATGCTGAATAAGTAGGTCAGAATCTTTTCGTTTGATGAAGTTTATCACAGATTCACCGATAAACTGGATAAACTGTTTGACGTTATATATTTGTTTTACTTTCATCTGTCTCTGATCGATCCTTAACCTTTGACCTGAGTGGGTCGAGATTTTATGGCAACTATTAGTTTCCGATGGAGCTTAATAAATGACGTCAATATATCATAAGCACGTACTTTTTTATAATCTTTACATTTATATCCGATACCTAATCGTAATCTTTTATTATAATTGAAGTTGCTTCGTTTAATTCGGTTTCATATTACAGATTTTTCGAAAAGCTCGTTCAATGAACGATTGATGCTTACAGAATATTAACTATGAAATAATCGAAACGAGAAGAGCTTATAAGAACAAAAAGCTAAGCTAAATACAATATTTCAATTGCACTTCAGAAAATATGAAACTTATTTGCCTAGTTACTGTTGATTTTCAGCGCATTAAAGCGAAATAGTGACTTGCAACGGATTGCTCAATGTAAAAGAATCGTTATGAATCTTTGAAGTTTCCATCTGAAAAATAAGAGAAAGTTAGCCAAATAAAATCCTCCAAGTTTTTAGTTTTTTATGCTAAATTTTTCCACCTGCGCATCCGTGTTTGACTCGGAGAAACTTTATTCAGAATTTAGTTGAACAGCCTTTCTGAAAATAAGCTACTTTCAAATATACAACAAAGATACATACAACTTTTTAAATAATCTTTAAATTAGAGTAACAATATAAATACTATCTTGATAAAACGATAATAATCAATATATTTTTATTAATTTGTTAACATTTTCGGCCGAGCATTAATCATTAATAATTATTAATTTCAGTAATGACGTAACGTACCGTCAGTCATTAATAGGATTCGCTGTTTCCTGGTCGAAGCAGTACTTTCGCAAAAAATTACAGTTTATCAATCGAACTGGTGAGCGTAATTTTGCTCTGTTGGATGCAACCTGAGATCACTCGTGATTTAATAACCTATGACCTTTTCCTTTGAACCTCGACTCTACGTCGCTCTTGTGCTCCGGACAAACGTTTCTGCTCCGACTCGCGCTCGCACATTGCTCACCATTTTAGGTGCTTATTTACGGGGAAACTGATGTCGAGTGCACGTGAAGACAAGCACGGAAGAGATATAAAATTTGAGTCAGTGGAATTCCCGAACTATATCACTCATTTTTAGAATAAATTTTAACGCTTATACCAAAAAATCTTATGATTTTGAAAACAGTAAATAAATGATTTATTATTTATTATTTTTGTTCATATATGATATTCTTTATATTTTTCGGAAAATATTTGTATTCAAAAATTAAAAAGTTTACGACAAAAAACGTTCTTGGAGTGTAAACGTAATTAGAATTCAAGCGTGATGTTTACAGAGAAAGAGAGGGACAGAGGGAGGGGGGGAGGCTTTCGCTTTTTTAAAAAGCGCAAGTCCCACGCAGAGGGGATTCTCACAGAGCGAACTATGCCTCGTTAAAAGCCACGTAACTATCCTCGAGACGTAACTGTCCCGCATTTCAAATGGTAGAGGAGGAGTAGGAAGACACGCATGTAACTTAAGAAAATAAGCGTCGAGTTTCCGCCCTTGCTAATTGGAGAACGCTTGCCGCACAATTATTAAGGGCGAGAGTAAGAGAGAGAGAGAGAGAGAGAGAGAGAGAGAGAGAGAGAGAGAGAGAAACAGAACGAGAGTAGTAGTAGCTCTTGACGAATGGCGCGCCTTTTAAAGAGTAAAAACCTTGACTCCATGCGACTTTTTACAGGCACGCTTCTTGTGACCGATATTCGTATAACGCGCGCGAAAGCGTGAGAGCCGAGTGGATTTTAGTGCCGCTTCTTTTGAAGCTTGGTTAATTAAATTTTGACCCTGCCCCACGTGCCAGCCCCAAGTTCTTGCTTGTTTATTAAGCTAACAGCAATATTTTCTTTGTCAAAGCATTTTCAAAGATTACAAAGAACTCGTACAGGCGTCAATATTTTTCATATTAAATAATTTTATTGAGTTAATCGGATATATTTTTAATTTCATTTTAGTCAAGTGATCTAATAATAAATTTAATTATGAGTCTTTTGTAATTGGCGTAATTCAGTTCTAATTTTAGAAATCATCGTCAAATGAATTTTTCATTGCAAAGAAAAAAGTTTCCCACTAATGAGTGCATTTCCGAGGTCAGCGTGCCTCGAAAAATTCTTATGTAGAAAAAGGCATTGTTCGGCTTGGTAGTTCCACTCCAAAGAAGAAAATTCTCCTAACGAGGCGATGCGCTTCTCCCTTTGAAAATAGCGGCCTAGACCGAATAAAAGGCGTTCTCTTTATCCGCGACCTGCGCCTCGCAAAAGAAAAAAAATGAATGAGAAAAAAGATAAGAAGTAACCGACCTAATTCTATTCGACTTTAAATATTTAATGCTTACAAATAGAATTGGATGTGATGTCGTAAAAATAAGCTGCAAATTTAGGGGTGTCAAAGAGGTTTTGAGAAAGAACAACTCACCAGTCACGTTGACGCGCTCTGATTCTCCGTTGGTCGAGTTCTCGCGTGCAAGTCCCTGAGGTCTCGTTGGCGCGTCCCTTTCTCAGCAGCACAGCACGACTACACCGGGTACATGTTTGTGCAACCTACACACTCGTTTCACACTTGGTCAAGTTTTCTCGCTTTTCTCCGCCGCGGATATAGTCTTTTACGTGAGAAGAATCGATGAAGACGAGTTGCTTTTGATAAAGCGCAGAGAGAACAAGAGAGCTTGTGAGTCAGTCACGTGGCCAACCAGTCACGCTGCCGTCCGCCTCTCGCGGACTTTTATCCGCCGCACGCTTAAGCTCACGTTTCTATCCAGTCCATTCAAACCTTTACTTTCGTCTGAAACTCGGAATTTTGAATTTTTTTTCTCTCTGCTTCGATTTGCTTCTGTAAGTTCGTTCAATTTTTTCGATTAGAACTTTTGATAAATTCCATAAAAAGAAAGCTCGGAAGTATGGACAATCTCATAGATAAAAATCACTGTTCATGTGCGTCGCTGATCGTACATATAACTTGTTATAAATTGTTTACAAGTGACGTGTGTGTATAACGGCATGAAAGAGGGCTTTTGCTATGGAGGTTTGGTCTAGGCACGCGCGTCCGCTCGCGAAGTGTTCGCCGAACGCACTGAGGATACCGACAGTAACCGGGGGTAGTTCACCGGTGACGTCGCTTGCTAGCGCGCTTGCGGGGCTGCGAGAGAGAGCGAGAGAGAGAGAGAGAGAGAGCGAGCGAGAGAGTTTTGCCGGCTCTACTCTCTGGGCATGCGCCGCATGACGCTTACAGCACAACCCGGACTCTCGGTCTGTCTGTGTATTCGTATATAGAGCCTGGGAGGGCTGGCTGCTACCGCCACTACTCACCCCACAACCCCCGACGAGTCGATGTGCCAGTGGGAGAAAAAGAGGCGATTGAGGGGTGTAAATGGTTGAAACCAGTCTTACAGCTAGAGATGAATGACGATGATGATGCTGTTAGCATTGTTGTGTTGGCCGTTTGTTAAATTTTTATTTGAGAGATCAAGATCTGATCATCAAGGAGAACTTTAATTAATCAAGAGGTTTTTTCATCCACTTGTGGGTCGCGGCTTGGTTATTCGTGTGTAAGGCGTGTAATCGATCAATCAGCTTTTAATTGAAAAATTGCAAATGCAATGGAAGATGTAAATATCGAATTTTCATCAGTCACTGGATGCAAGTATAATCATGCTGCAATTGTCATGTATCGTGAATTTATCGATGTCGTAAATTAAAATACCATGCCAATCTAAATTTTGATGAAAATGTAGAGGTTGGAAGCTTTTTGGTGGAAAAAAATAAAATAACGCTGGTGGTGTTAGCGTGTGCAGTAGCGAATTCGAAAGGAGCAAGGTCTACTACGATAAAACGGCGAAGATACGAAAAAAACCGCCTAATGAGGGGAGCCGCTCAAAAGCCAGCTGGGTTCTCCTTAAAACTCCTATTTTCGCGGCTCTTTTCGCCAACGAGAGAGAAGAAAAAAACAGTCATCGCCATCGTCGTCGCGAATCTTTTTAGAATCACAGCTCATCTGGAATTGCGAAGGCGGCGGCGGTGGTGGCGGGAGCAATAGCGGCGATGGCGGCACGGTTGGCGACGAAATGAAAGGCGTAAACGCGCGGAAATCGGGTCTTCGCACGTAATGAGATTTAAAAGGAGCCAGGACGTGCGTGAAAATCAAAGGGCTTCCGTCCGTGATGAAACTCGTCTCAAGTGTTAATCGGGTTTTCTCGCTTGCTCGAAATTTCAACGGAAAGCTCCCTAGGCTATACGGCGCGCGCGCGCGCGCCGCCAGCATACCACTGAATTAGGAATTTTGGTATAGCTATCGCGCGCAGTTGGAGGCAACGGAGAAAGAAGAAAAGAAGAAGTAAGAAGCGATTCACGCTAATGACCCTCGACTTTTACGAGTCGCCGTAAAGCCATAGGAAATTAGGTCGTCGCAAGGGGATCCGGAAGCGCCGTTAAGCGAAACATCTCGGCACGTCGCGCATGAAAATATTTATTGAATAATGTAACGGCTTGTGCGTCCCATTGCCGCTCGAGCGAGATTTAGCAGCGCCATCGTTATTACGGTGAATACGTTTCTTCTCGCGCGCGCGATTCCAGACCGCGAAACATTTTGCCTAGATCGGTTAATTAAGAGGTTTAGCTGCAAACAAAAGCCGCGAATGCGTTTCGTTGCGTAGCCGCACGTTCAATTAGTCTTTTATTGGTACTTCCGGCTTGTTGATTCGTGCGCGCGGTGCGCCCTCGGCCGGCTGGTGGGGTACGTTAAGCTCTTTCGATTTTTCAAACTTCAAATAAAACTCACCGCTCGATGTTTAAACGCGCTATCGGTCTTGCACTGTTCAGATTTTGAGTAGTTTTGTAGTCGCACGGATCATTGACGCGTTATTGAGAGAGGAGCAGTTTGTTTTTCTTAGCAAAGGGTTGTTGCAAACATAAAAACCACCCTCTCGGACAAAGTTTTTCCGCATTTCCAACAAATCGAATAAATAGTTATGCAGAGAGTTTTGAAAAAAAAAAAAAAAAAAAAAGAAAGTTTTTTCATAAAAGCAACCAGTTGAAAAATTTAACTCTTCTCGACAACAAAAATTTGTAGAAAGAAAATCCGCCAACACGCGTTCTACAAACGAAGCTTTAGAATAATAACTCGTAATCCAAACTTTTTTCATCATCCTTTGTCATAATAAAATTGGAGCCGGACAAGGGGGTGACTCTAGGTTGGCTCGCGCAAAAGGTCTGCTGAAAATTGAAACGTAGTCGCCTATAATCCCAGCAGCAGCAGTAGCGGTGGCGGCGACAGCGGCAGTAGCAGTAGTAGTAGCAGTAGCGTCGGCCATTGATTCGGCCGCTAGCGAACAAAGGCCGATTTAATTGTTCCGCGCCGAAATCGCGCGCTTTTGTTCCATGCGACCAAAGGGGAAAGAGAAAGCGAATAATAAAAAACTGAAAGGGAGTGAACCGTCGACCCTTGCGTAGCCACCAAGAAATAACTTGCGTTTGTGACTGTGATAAAGATGAGCGCGGAGACGAGCCGACGCTCGGCGCCTTAGCGCGCGCGAGTCGCCTTAATGCGCAATTGATCGGCTGACTCATCAACAAAATTTCACTCCTAGTTTCTCCTTTCTAATTTCGCAGAGAGCTGATCAACGAATTTACTTTAATGCTTCCCTCCAGGGATACATTATTGGCAATCGAATGCATTACTTGCTTGTTTAAAAGACTTTTTCTTCCGTTTATCATCTTGTCATTGGCATTGTCGATTGTCGCTTCGATTTTTTCTTTACTGACATTTCTTTGAAAACAATATACTGTCGATTTCGACTTAAATAATACGTCAAAAAAGTGCACAAGCAAAATTTTTCAATAAAAACATTTGTTCTGTAAAGTAACGCATTGCACTTTTAGTCACAAGCAGGTAAACACAGGACACGTTCATATGCAAAGAGCCAGCAAGCGGGTGATATACGCGCAGCAACTGTGAAATAAACGAATTTTTTTGATGGACATCAAAATTTCCATGTTTCTACGTTGCACAACAACAAAACATAAAAAAATACCGCCAACTAGAATTGGTGCTGTTCACACATTGAGAATCGGATTTGACGCTCCCAAAGAAGTTTGATAGTGAAAATTCTGCATGCGAAAGCTTTGTTAGCTGAGTTGACTGAGTCTCGCATAAAAATTGTTGATTATTCTAATCGTTAAACTGAGAGTGAATCTTATTAATTTTCACTTCTTTTCCCGGAGTTTCGACGAGTTTTTACCGGCACGTCGCCCACTTTTGACTAATTATAGCCTTAAATGCGCACGAATTACACGGGATAACGCGATTTCGTAGCCTCCTAATAGGATCCCAAAAATGAATTACTCAATCATTTGCATATAAGCCGAGAAGAGCTTTCCTCTCGTTTTTCTCTACTCCCTAGTTCTCTCTCGACGGCTTCTTTGTGATGTTCGCGAGTGTGAAAGATAATGGCCAAGATAATATGATTAACGGAACATTTTAAACTCTATCCAAATCGAATTAGCAAAGACGATATCGTTATTTGGCATTTCAGATACGAAGACTCGCAGAAGAAAATAAATTCATTTTAGTAAATATACAGCAATATGGCATAATTAGACTGTTCAAATAACGAGTTTTAAATATTAAAACCGTCATATGCTGTTAATCGGCGACGTATATAATTTATTTCTATTTCGGAATTACGTTTTCTCGAGGAGAATAGGAGGAATATAATGTACTTTGTAGTTCGTTGCAGACTCTTGGAAAAATGACGTTCAAAAAGCGTGAAATGTTTCTATCACATGATTGCAACATTAAAAAGTCGGTAAAACTACGACTCGTAGAAAACATTCCTCGAAAGTTTCTTGTAATGTCGCACGCGTCTATTTTCGGATTATCCTTCGGAGTGCGCGGGCGAATATGCCGCGCGCTTGGGCGTTGCGTTTACGCCGCGGTAGATAACGAGATTTGTCGTCCCGGATAATTAGATTATATCCGCGTTCCGGATGCACGGACTCGTCCGTGTGTGTGCGAGTACGCGAGGGGGAAAAGAGTTGCCGTCCGAGGGATAAGGCAAGAGAATTATGTGCGCTACTGCGAAGGCCGTTGCACTTTATTTATTTTTTTCTTTCAGAATGAGAAAATCGACGTCCCGTCAAATAAATGTTATTAGGCGTTGGTTTAATTTTTGACATCGAGGATGTATCATTTCTGACGCACGACGTTCACTCACGTATAGTTGCATGAAAATATGTATGGAATCCGTCGCGGTGTCATATTATTTCTAGAAAACAAGTAAGACTGAAAAAACTCGAGGTTTATACAGAAGAAGTGCAATCGTGCAAAAGTAAGTAGATAAAAGTAGCAAGCAGATAAATAGCAAACACGCGAAATTAGAAGAAAACAGACAAAGCAAGAGAGAAAGTGTCGCTCGCGCGCGATATGCAAGCAAATGCGCGCTAATTAAAAAAGTTCTCTCGGCCACAGCAGGAGCGAGCCTCTTCTTCGCTCACTTTTCCATTTTTTTTAACTCCGCGCGCGCCCGCGCGCTGCCCTCCCCTTATTGTTCATAATTTTTCAAGCGTGCAAACGAGCCAAGTTTAGAGAGTGAGACTGTCGATGTCAGAGCCGCGCGCGAGGTCGTCGAAAATTTTTCGAGTACCAATTAAAATTAATGGATTCTCTCGCGAGTGAAAAGTTGCCTCCCGCTGCTCAGCGATTTCCAAGCGCACGAGACATCCTAGCATAAGTATTTCATG